CGTCCGGGCCGAAGCGCATGCGTCCCGCTAGGTCCAGCGTTAGATGCGTGCCGAGGCCGCCGGCGCCGGGCGCGGTTACGGGGTAGATGAGGCGGGTCACTTTGGGCGATGACGCGCCGTAGCTGAAGTAGTTCCCCTTGGCGTAGTAGAGCCGCGTGCGCCGCTCGGGGGGGACGATCAGGTTGTGGATTTCGGCGGCCCCGAGACCCGCGCTGTTGATTAGTACGTCTGTTGTGATGTGCGATTCTTCGCCCGTTGAGGAATCCCGCACGGTTAGGGCCCAGCCGCGGCTTCCGGGACGCGGGTAGTGCTGGAAGAGGGAGACGTAGACGTAGATGTAGAGGAAAAGGGAGAGGTAGGAGCAAGCAAAGGCTCAACACCAACAACCTCCGAATTAACCGCCGTGACACCACCCGCATCCTCGAACAGCCCCAGCAGCGCGGCCATCAACGCATGCGAGTCCACAATCCCCGTCTCCGGGCTCTCCAGCACGCCCGCCTCCGCCCTAACCGCAGGCTCCTTCTCCCGCGCCTCGTCAGCGCCGACCCACCGCGTCGGCACGCCGCCGATCTCGTCCCTGCACAGCTGGTGGATGCGCTCCAGCGTCTCGCGCTGCGACGCGTCCTGCGCGACGACCCATTTCCCCGTGCGCCGGTGCGGCACGCGGTAGCGGTCGCAGAAGGCGTAGAGGGCGCGGCGGCCGGACACGCAGAGGCGGGTTTTGAGGGAGTCGGGCCCGTAGTACAGGCCTGCGTGAATGACCTCGCTGTTGCGGGACGAGGTCTCGGTGCCGACCTGGGGGTGTTTTTCTAGGAGAAGTGTGCTACTGCCGGTGCTGCTACTGGAGGAAGAGGGTTGGTGGGAGGCGAGGGCCCGGGCTATGGCGAGGCCGACGGCGCCACCTCCTATTACCTACGTGTAGGGCGGGCCTGTGAGTTGTCAAGGTCTGTATATGTGTACGTATATATGTGTGTGTTTGAAGATAGGTGCATGTATGTATATGAATGTAAATATTTCCCCGGCCGGATTGCAATTGGCCTGGGAAATAATACGAGATGTGACTTACGACATGAGTGAAATCGGCTCTAGCCGGCGCCGTACCAGAGAACGAACGTGTCGGACATACTAAGCCGCCCAACTGTAATTGACGTCGAGCCGTTCTGGTGAACATCTTCATTCAACAGCGTTGAAGGTTCGAATGGAGAAACTCAGGATGAGCCCGATTGCTTTAGTGAAAGGTTCATTAAGAATGATATCATAACCTAATCTGAGGACGACACCGGAGAGATCTTATCGACTTATCGGCTCGGAACGCTGCATTAGCGCTTTTGTTACAGCGCTGATTATGTATTTGCTGTCCATATTAGAGACGACTAATAAACGGAACACATTGAAGGTATAGTATTCGTGACCAATATTGAAAGATAAAATAGAAATATAACGTAGCTGCTCGAGCTCGACTTGTTCAACCAACCTGTATTTACCTATAATATCTAAACCTTTAGCTGCTGCCAATTTCTTTAACGCCAGGAAAAGCCAGCCCTGGCCATAATTCCAACCGTTGTTCCGCTTCCGACTTTATAAGTTGTGGCACAGCTGAAATTGTATCCTCTACGAATATGAACGACTGGGGAAACCGAATGGTTAGTTCACTATTTACGACCTCCCAAGAACACCTAGGAAATATAGCATCACTCATTATCTTAATCCAATTAGTCCACGGCACACCGTCTAAGTTGATTGATTCGGCACTAGTCTGACTATCCGTACCGTAAAGTAGTTGACAAGTTCCTGTGATTCGCATCACAATGGATCAGACTCTATGAGTGACGGGGGAAAAAAGGGAATACACTTGCTCTGACCCTGCTCAGAAGAATGAAGGCATAATGCTAAAGCCGTAAAATGCAATGAGGACCATATGGGGAAAACAATTGTAGTACGCCATGTTCGAAGGCATCATATCCCTCTTTCCTGGGTCCTTCTACCCGAACCTTCCAGTAACACCAACGCCGGGAATTTTACCTTGATACGGAAAGAAACCGAATTGTTCATTCATGACAAGTTGGACAACCGAACGCCTTGAGACCGAATCTGTGTATTACGAATAAGAGTCCAGTTCATCTTATTCGTCCTTTGGACCGGTTTCCGAGGTGGTAGCGGGCTGAGCTGTGGTGGCAGGCGTTGCAGCAGTAGAAGCTGAACTTGCTGCACCTTCTTCCTCAGACACAGATGTAGATTGCGTGAGCTGCGAATGATGCGCTGGTTCTCGGGTTAGCCCTGCATTTGCATGGGCCTCGCTCAATTGTCGCTCTGTATAGACGTAAGTAAGTTGCTATTGTATTGGTTAGGGTAATCTATCTTACCAAGCTCACGGATTCTATGACGCAACATCTGGTTCTCACGAACCAGAGACTGGGTCTCGGCCTGGTAGTAGGCGCTCTCGTCACGCACCCCGGAAAGAAGCGGCTCCACACTCTCCGCACTGATAGACGTCGATCTCAGTCTAGGAGAAGGGGCCCCACGGCTTGGGGTTCTCGATCTACGGTGAAGGGCATCGCGAGCCATATCAAACGAAGAACGAGGATGTGACAAGACCGGCGAACGGGGAACCGAAGTAGATGGTGCGGGGAATGCTGGCTGCGCGCCCGTGTTCGGAAGTATTACGGAGCTAGATCTCTCCGAAGTAGGAGTCGCATCTTCAGCAGCTACATTCGTTTGGCTTTGGCCTTGTGCTCCTTGAAGCTGCTGTAGTTGGAGTTGCTGCTGGCGAATCATCTGCAGAAGTCGATTCTATCATCATCCCATGTTAGCCAACACCAATGCAAGTTGAATGATATAGTATAGCATACCACTTGTGCTTCTTGTTCTGCCTCAAGTTCTTGGTGTAACTCTCCCAGACTCGGTGCTCTGTTGTGATGAGGATCTCCTCCCGCGAGGAGAGGCGACGTAGCCATAGGCAAGGGGCTTGTTGCTCCATATCCGCCGCTTCCACTCTCCGTAACCATTTCACCCGGGCCGGGAACAGATGGATCGTTAAGTTGTAGGTTCATTAATACAGTAGAGCGTCGTCTGCCCATTTGCGGTGATTGTCGGTTTCGCGATAGAGAGCTGCTTGACGAGCCTGAAGAATAAGAGGTATGTAAGTAGATTGTAGGTTTCACGGAATTCAAAGTCGGAACTTACGTCGCATAGGTTCATGCTGGAGACCAGCGTTCATAGTGGCAGCAGCTTGCAACGAAATGGATGCTGATCGAGGAGAAGGTGATGCCGACTCGCCACGAAGAACAGAATCTCCGTTGCCGTTTGAAGAGGTCATAATGCGCGGTCTTGCTGAGGGTGGTGATGATGGTGGAAGTGAATTGAGGTCGGGAGCCATGTCAACGGCGAGAACAACGCTGACGTCTGAAGTAGATAAGGCAGGTCGTTTACTGTAGGTCAAGTGTCACACAAGGCAACCTAGAGCTGTGGCCAAGCTACCTAAGCTTGTCAACTTGCAGCCAAACAAGGTGTTTCGCGGCCACGGACGGGATGGAGGGGTGGAGTTGAGGTTAACTAGTTAGGTAAAGATATGGAGATCGATATGGAAATACAGTATGCAGGTGGCGGCCTGGACGTTAACAGGCGTCAAATAGGAATTGTGATTCAGAAGCGATCGTGGCATAAACGCCAGACCTGGACACGACGCAACACGTAGAATAGCGCCTCGTCAGCTGTGGAAGCTTGAGGCTGGGTCCTTCTGTATTGTCCAGGTGACAGGGAAGTCGAACGATACCGTATACGCTTTTTCTTCCAGGGCCGTGACCAGAGAACATTGAATCCAACAGCAGTGGAAGTACCAGTTAAGACTAGATTCAACGAAACTCTGTGGAGAGAACATATGCAGGTGGGCTGTGACCTTGTGGGGAATTACAGCTACCCCTTGACGTCAGTTGATGGCGGATCGAAATGATCGAAGTGCTTTTTGCTAGGGAACGTGACCTCAGTACGAACATATTACATAATCAACAAGGGTACTTTATCGCGGCTATGTCCAGAGCTACATGTACATACTACATATGTAGGATATGTATCTCCTGAGCCGCGTCCAACCATCAACCCATTCCAAGACAAGAACCATGAGACATCACATGTAATCGATTAATCAATTAGTCAATTACATGTAGGCAGTGCCTTACGACATTTGCATTGCTACGAATTCTGATACAACCTAACCTATCGGAATTTCTTCTTCCAATGGCTCGTATTACCTACATGTATACCTATTTATGTTGACTCGGTTAGATATACATATTTACTGGTCTTTGGTCACAATATCGGTCACAAGGCTAACCAACAGAGTTTTGCCATGCAAGCTAAGGTAAGCTTGAGACAGGACCCTTAAGGTTACGTGCCACTGTAACATCATGCAAGGACAACATTCGGAGGCTAAGGTTTTTGCTAAACTCTTGTAGTTATGTCTGATGCCCTTGCATGAACCCCTGGTATATGGTAAGTCAGTGATACATATATGTCAATTTTTATACACTTATAGTAGCTACGAGCACATTCTTCTAAAGTGATAAACCCCCCTTCGTCGTATACTTCCGTCATCTCCATTCCAAGACAAACCAAAGGTTGTATCGACCGACATGACCTAATCTTTGTTTCACATTCATGACTAAGATTCAGCACTCGATTCATATCGACTTTCAAGAAAGGATCAACTGGAACATGAGGTTTCCCACCTTGATAGAGCGCTCATTCTGCGAGGCCTACATGTAGTTGTGTGTTACGAGAACAATACGCTGCTCTGGCCATTCTTTTCATTTAGTTTCTACGATAAAGCACCCCACTGCTCGATGGATTAATGAGTCAGGCCTAGTGCTACATACTTCTAGGATCACGATTCTAATTTACGATTCTAATTTACGATAACATCAAAGCTAGGACCCGATAACGCACTTCCTTTATAAAGCTCGTCCGCAAGGTGGATGTCAACCGGATCATCCGGCGAGCAAACAGCCCGGTTAGCTCAATCGGTAGAGGCAAGTTCATCCACTTCCGACTCCATTCACACCGACATCGTGTACTAACCTCTTCTCCAGCGTGAGACTCTTAATAGAGATTCATCTCAAGGTTGCGGGTTCGACCCCCGCATCGGGCTCAATTCCTGATGCTTCCCAGTTCACTGGGATTTGCAACCCTTCATTTTTTGCGATTTTTTTTTATATTTGACCCCTGTAGGATGACCGTTTAGGGCTAGGGCAAGCAAAGAAAAAAAAATCATTACCTCTAATACGAACTTCCGACCTTAAGCATAAGCGATTTCAATCAAGATATTCGATCGTCCAGACTATCTGGAAGCGGGTAGGAAATAAGCATCCTCCCATTTGGTCTAGCCCTCAATATCTCACCACGGGTATGGACCAAAAGGTGGAGAAGATCATGTAAGTCTCTCAAACCTTGATATCTTGGAGCTCTGTTTCAAAATGGTGGAATGAGATTGGTCTTACAGATGCATGAATTCATTCTAGAAGCTGGATTGTCTCGTCGTATTCAACTTAGGGGTTTTGATTTCTCCAAAAAGTATCTTGCAGCTGCCAAGCTCTGCTTTGGACTTTACTACTGACATATTGCCACTGAGCTGCTGCTCAGCCTAGCCCTCCAGTGCCGAAACGTACATACGCAACTTAAAGATCCCGAGCGCACCTCCGTAGTATAGCCATCGAGTTCGTATTCTTACGAATTACAGTAGCCAATCATATCTGCCGCTCCGCGACAGCAGTAGATGTAGATGTTTCGGGAAGATTGCAGATGTTACGAATATTCGCGGTCAGACTTAGCAGCAATGCTCAATATTGACGATCGGTGGCTTCACTGTCGCCAAGAGCACCTACAAGAAAGCAGCGACGACAAAAGAAGATCGGGATCAGATCTAAGGGGCTCCCGTCCACACTCCAATCTAGTGTCAACATGCCTACGAAGATGGCACGGAAGTAGGGAGCCTTAATAAGTCTTAGTTATGTAAAACTTGAAGCTGTCAAGGCGAGGTTCTCCTCTTTTCCTTGGAAGTTTTAGGATGAATCAAAGTCTTACGGATGTATGTCGATGATTGGCGTGAGACGCTAGTCGACGTTTGAAATTTTTTTAATTTTACTACTGCCCGAACGCCTCGGTTCAAGTGGGTTCAGACGACGGAAAGCGGGTGCTTTTCAAACCTCGGCGACCCTTCGAGTGGGTTTCGTTCGGGAATGAATATCGAATGTGAAGACTACCCCCTTGGAGTTGTGGTCCGGACATACGTAATACCATTACTCCGCCCAGAAGAATGTGGTTAACTGCGGGCTTATGGAGCGTCGTATCCAAAAGGTTTAAGGCTTACCTTAACTCCTAGATCTACGCGTGGCCAAAGTAGCACAGGTCGGCGAACAGAACGTGGAGAGAAAAGCAACTATTCGCATATACCACGTTCTCGAACACTCGGCTGCGAGCGGGTTGAAGAAAATATGTGACTGGGGTGTAGCTCCGTTCTGATTAGCATTGTAGCTTAGATAAAATGCATCTCCTGCATACGGTAGGTATTGCCACCGGTTTTTTTCTTTGGGGATCGTTCGCCTATGATTCGCGCGTACCTATGGCTCATTGCCGTTTTTATGCACATAAGGTCCAGAGGCGTTGTCAGGGCCACATTTGCGGTCGCTCTCCTCTATTTCCGAATTTCATGGAGCGCGCCCTCTTTTTGCTGCTGACAGATCGTCGGTTCGCTGCCGCACGCGGACCCGGTGGTTCGGCTACGGTAGATGAATAGTCCCATTCCGCGTTCCTAACGCGTGGCGGCCCTGCTGATAACTAACCACCCCCCCCTGTAACGAGCAGCAGGATTTTACCCCCCTTCGCTCGCTTGGTGCTGGAAGGCCTGTAGGGAGGAACCCTAAACTCGGGTCAGCAGCCACCGGAATGACTGCAGGAAAGTTCTGGTGGTTGGTTGGTTACCAAGAATAATGAATTGCCGTTATGAAGGATTTTAAGGGGGATGTTGGAAGTGCACATTATGTGTCCAATTCCAGGAACCCCCTCAACGGAATGTGCCGTGTGTCCACTTAACAGTAGCCGGTTAGTTCTTGGATTCAAAAAGCGCTGTTCAGCTGAAGTAGCAACTATAATATAGCTCATGGGTTGAACCTAGCGCGTGCAAAATGAGCATGTTCGTATTCTTCAACATGTTAGCAATATGTAAATAAATAATTGCCGTCATATTAATGATAGAGATGTGTCATATCTGACCAGTTTCTAAATCCATTTCCCGGATTTGACGTGGGCTGCCCAAACGACGCCATTAATTGACAGGAGTTTTAGCGGCGGAGGAGAATTCTTGAAGTCTCGCACGAAATCCCAGTCCCAACGTGGAAAATCCCGGTATCCCCGGCCCCGCTACTGCAGGAACTTTCAGGACGGACTCAGAATGCGTCGCCGCCACGAAGGATCGGATGTGGGAAAGTTTTAGGCTGTACCGTATGTAGTGGCTTTTTTTTTCCCCCTTAGCTTTGCTTAGCTATGCCTACCTAAGCCTAGCGAATGGGGGTTTAAGGGAAAATTGTGAGGCTTTAGACTAGTTGGGAGCAAATATTTTACGTTTTTACATTGCGATATTTTGCGTGGAAACGGGGCCTATGAAGTAATAGAAGTATCCAGATTAACTGTTAGTCTTCCGACTTATCCGCTAGCTTCCATAGCATCGCCGAAGTACCGGATCAAGCATGGGTAGTATGGGTTAGGTAGAGTTCCCGTACATCTGGATATAGTACATGCCTTACGTTGCAGTCAGTGAGTGCCCCTTCACGCCGTAGAATAGAATCTTGAAGTTCAATATAGGAATCAAGGTCGTTCGAGGGTGCGGACGAATTGGGGAACGGAGTACAGAAATCGTATTCTCAAATTGGGAACTGGACGGGACGAGAATGGAATGTCAGCTGAGCTGAGAGCATCCTTATGCAACTACATGCAACTGTCCATTTCCGTGTCGCCATCGCACGGCAGAGGATTACAGTAGAGGAGAGAAAACATGCAGGATAATTAATGTCAACTTCCAGGAAAACATGACACCAACCCAGAAATGTCAAAAAAGTCTATCTTGTCGTCAAAGGGTCTGTGAGGCTGTTATGTTAGTTAAACTTGGATATTTGATCACGAGCTAATCTGGGCACGTTGCATATGTATGTACTATGTACTACAATCCGGATAGAAAACCTGTCAGAGCGCACGAACCCTGCCATTGACATTTCCACAGCCAAGGGTACGGGGTAATATTGGGAAGTGATCAGCTCAGAAAGGGCATAGCGCTATATGATTCTGCAGTTCATCACATATGTGACTTGAATCGTACCGCATCGACAGTTTAGAACATTATGTAACGGAAGGGGGGTTTTTTTTTTCTTCTTGACGGGACTTTGATAAATCTGCATATCATCCCGAGGCACATATGGTTGGACAGTCTGATACACAATCGCTGTGGGTTTCCGGAATGCAGATTTGTATCGTGCGCATACATACACTAGGAAGTATTGCAAGTTTGTCAGATCAATAGTCTCCCGACATATTCGCTACCTAACATATTGCTAGCGGGTTTTGATCGCGATATCTGTATGATTAATGCGACTTCACGACGAACTATCAAGCTTTGAGATTAGATCATCAATGATTATCAACGATCAGACCTCCAATGCCCAATTTGTCGGCACTTATTAGGACTATGTAGTACCGAACATTATGCTCTACCGGAACCTGAATTGAGGGGAATGAACATGCGTAGCCCTCGAGAATGCAACACTGAAGCCGTCTCCTCTTGGGAAAGACGAGAGGACCCTTGGCATTCGCATGCGGTGACGATAGGCTCCCCGCCGCTACTGGACTGTCAATTCGAGTTAACCTGCAGCACCCCCAAACGATTACTTTCGCGGCTCACGAATGAGATCACATCCTGGCACGTCGTTGATTCGCTGCGTCGCTCAGGGGTCCTTCGCGAGCGCGTTTCTTCTCACAGGTTCAAAACAACATTGGAAACCATGGGAGATGCACGCAACGTGACAAACTTCGCTGCGGAAAATTCACACATCGACAATTATTGGCCATACTAACTTGCAGGCGCCGAAGCTTTGGGGGCTAGTAACTTCTCTCGTATCGTCGCTACATTCCAAGGCAAGGCGGGAATTTTCGTCTTTCTTTCCGAATTAAATGAAAAATTTAGAAAATCTCCAACTGGCTTACCCTTTGGGTCCCTTCGGGGAGGGTATGAGGTGCGTCAGACAGACGTAAGAACATAAAGTAGGTGTCTGGCGTTCAGGGCGGCAGTGGTCTGTGGTCTGTTCGGGTTGTCCCTTATTCCCTGCATATGGTTATCTGTCGTGCTCCGCGCCTATCTGTGATTGATGTTGCGTAGTCGATCGCACGCCAAAATTTGGCACGATCAGGACCTTATTTTTGAGGACTGCAGCAATTCCATACTTTGTCAACTTGGCGGTTTAGAAGAGAGACAACTCGTAGTAGAAATTGGCGTCTTTGCAGCTAACCGAAGCCCGCCCTATGCGATACTACCGCGGTACACTACATCCGGGGATAAAATAACAATCGAAAACAGGTATTTAATAAGTACCGTAGCGACGTCCGCTAGTCCCACACCAAGCCGCACGGTCCATGGGCCGGCGCGCTGGAAGAAGATCCCTGACCGGGATACAATACCCTTTCCCCTTGCCGTCAACATCCAACCCACTTCGTAAGTTTTGAGCAGGGATTCTTTCGCGAATCCCAGCCCAGCCAAGGCTCGATTTCTTCCCAATCTTTCTCACGAGTGTGTGCTGGGGAAACGTCTGACTCGGGGCTTTTGCATGTTCTGCAAGTTGCTCTGTCCTCCGCCCCAGCCCTTCCTCATCAGGGTCTCAGCCCGTGAAGGAAACATGAGACCGCGGACCAGAACCCTCGACCTGCATGCCTAACACCTATTTTATACTAGTACCTAGCATCAGGCCGTCTGCCGGTGGCTTAGAGGGATTCTAATTCCTAATTTTATCCTTCTAAAACTCTATGCCTCCCGCCTCGTGGTCTCACAGTCCTGTTTTCACTTTCTATTGCCCTGACTCCACCTCTAATACTCTTTTTCACGGTCGTCTC